GTCTTTTTTTAGTTAAATTTTGTTCACAGAAATTGCTTTTTTATACATTTCTTTATATCTTTTTGTGAGAACAGGTGATTGGAATCTAAGAATTTTTTGTTTGCAAAACCAATGAGGCAAAAATGAAGGCGTGACAGGAAAAATACAAGAAGGTTAGTGCCCAATTTTTAAATCAAAAGTACTAGAATAGATGACTTGACTACTTATATCTTTAAATCTTCTAATTCCATCCTTCACTTAATTACTTCTTTTATAAACATAAGGAACTACATCATTATGCATAGTATATTGAATAGAATTGGAAAGATTTCCCAGCTACACCAAAAAGAAGGAGGCAGAAAGAAGGAGGGAGATTAAAAAGACTGATGGTGGTAGAGTCTCCCAAATAATGTTGACTCCATGTTGAAAACATTATCAATCTTATGTTTACAACACAACCTTCAACCTGCAATAATGATGATAATGAAGATGAAAATATATTATTTACTCTTTAAACTTATCTTTTTGCTGCTCTTTCTTCTTATATAGACTTATGTTAGTACCTTTTAACACTAATACCATCACTGTGCATAAAGGCAGTATTTTTATAATGCAAAGTGGGATGCTCAAGCTATTTAATATTCAAATAAATGAGTAGCCAACCTAAAATAAGAACCCCATTATTCAGGGAATCAAGTTACGTGCTTACAAGCACAAATCACATTTTTTAAAAAATCAAAATTAAGGAGCATGGAGGAGGTCATTAATGTCCATGCATGGGGAGCACACAAGAGCCAGGGTTCACTTCAAAAGATACCCTGACTACGTAGAATTGAACAAAGCTGACATGAAGCAACGCCGTGAAAACCTACGTCACATTCAGGATCTCAGAGGGTATGGATGACAGCCCATAGCAGTGGAAGGAGATGGGAGATATAATAATAGCCTGTTCAGTGGAGGGAACAAAACACCATACCAGCCAGCCACTCAGACTGTGTACACTGTAGCAGAGAATGTGACCAGCCAGCCACTCAGACTGTGTACACTGTGGCAGAGAATGTGACCAGCCAGAAGGATGTTACTGGTGTTTACTCTGGTAATAAGCTCTGCCATACTGCTCACCTGCTCAGAAGTAGAGGGGAAGATGTCTCTTGTCCAGATCACAGCTGGAGTGTACACAGCCAATCTACAAGAAGAAGACCAAAGCAATCACAGCCAATTACAAATCAATAAAACAGCCTAACAAAAACTAATAAACTGTAAATGCACATTAATAGTTCTATTAAATCTGTCAAGCAATAATCATGTTATTCTATCATTCTTTATATATTATGAATATTTCATTTTATGCGTGTGACTGTAACTTTTAATAATTAAATAACTGTCAATATTATTACTACTATCTTACTTGCAGTGACAAACAACCTAACTGATGCTGATGATGAAGCAGATGGGTTTGGTACAATTGACTTTCGCTGGTTGGTGAGAAGTCAAGGTGAGTATTTTTTTATAATGTGCACTGCATGTTATAATAATAATAATTATAATTTTTTTTAATTATAATAATTATTATTATTATAGCATTGGGGACAAGCTTAACCACTGATGTGACGATGTTAAAAGTCTTTGGGACACATGGTACTTTACCAAAGCTCTGAAAAAACAAATAGAAAAAGCACCATTTTCTGGTCAAGTGTTTCCAGGAAAAACAAAATACACTAGAGACAAAATGCAAAAATGCTTTGCTCAGTGCATAGCAATGGGCTGCTATTCTGAATTTGATGCTTGCTTTAGAGCAAATAAAGGGAACATAAAGTTGACTAAAAGAGCACTGAGTTACATCATTAACAACATATAGTTAGTTGTTACAATGGTGATTGTCAAAATTGTTTAAGGTACTCATAAAAATGTTAAGGAGGCTCAGAAACTATTTTCCCTGTTTTTCATCTTTCTCCAGGAGGCTCAGAAGATTTTTTCAAGGCACATGGAACTTACAAGATCCACTACAGCACCCAACCTACATCCAATGCCAACCCTGACATCCTAGAACAAGTCTGGGCTCTGCTCCTGACTATGAAAGCAAAGAAGAAGGAAGTCACCTCAACCAAGGTGAAATGCCAAACAGTAGCTATAATAAAATGCCTGAAGTAAACCTGCACTGAAAATATTTATTACTAATTTTTCAACATTATTTTATTTGTTAGCAAAATAAATGCCTTGTGTTAATTCCTGTGTTTTTCAGAAGTCCCAGATAAAATACAGGAACAACCAAGAAAGGCATTAAAGAAGACTAGTAAGATTTTTTAAAAATATTACTTCAATAATCATCAGAGAAGCACACAAATTTGTGTACACATAATATATGCGTTCTATAAGCAAAAGGTGTAACAGCTGATATTTTTCTATTTTATGTTGTATATAATATTTTTCAGAGGACTCCAGAATGGACATGGTGATAAATGTGGCAAATCAGAAACTTTCATGTTTAAAGAGACGGGTGGAGATTGAAGAGGAAAAACTGAAATTGAAGAAAGAAGTTTTTGAATTCAGAAAGGGAAAATGGGAGACAAAGTTGCCCAAATCAATTTACAGTCAATTTTAATCAAATGCCAATAAATAGTTATTTACATGAACATGGTTCCTAGTTGTTTCAGTCAATAACTTGCATAATGAAGGATTTCAAAATCAAATAAAATATCCTGTGACCATTTTACTCAGGCAATGAGACCATAAAACCAAATATTTGTGCTCAAGAAACAATGAAAATTACAGACTTAATAACATCTGTCCAAAGCTGAGGCATTATGGAGTCATGAACATACGGATCAGAGATATGGGGTTATACTACTCTAACAGACAGGTCTCCATTGGGGAAAACTAAACCTCAGTTTTTGTAAACAACTTTATCCTCAAACCACGCAGTAAAATGAGAGAACGAAACTATTCCTGCTCACACAAAGATTTAAGTACAATTAATAAAATTTTGGCTTAAAATGTTACGCTTAGATGATAAGAACCTACTTAAACAAGCATGCCTAGATGAATTACACTATCAACAAAAAACTTGTCAAATCTTAAAGATGTTAACCTCTCACGGAGTAAAGTTATCATGAAACTCCTATTTGAAACTCCACTTTGACCTCAGAACAACTGATGAAAAGTTCACTATCATTATGAAATCCCAAGAAGAAGAAACCCTAATTGCATTGGCTAAGTTTCTCTCCTTTGCTTTTACTAGAAGGGATCTAGAAGACAGTGCTGCACCTATCGGCAATTGAGTAGTAACTTGAGTTAAACAATTGTCTTTAGTAAGTTAGAAGTCATACACATTGTAATTGGTTAATAGTATACTCATTTAAAAAACATTTATATTGTCATTTTTAACCACCCAGGTGGATGCATACGTTACAATGAATAAACTATGAAACTTCTACAGATCCTATCACTGCTATATTACACCATACACAATTCATACTCTCAGACTGTACAACCTTTGAACCATGAAACCTCAAGCTAGTGAACCTTCTGACTATTGAACCTTTTGAACCACTGGATCTTGGCATCATCAAACTATCAGACCAATGAACCTTCTGACTATTGAACCTTTTGATCTTGGCATCATCAAACTATCAGACCAATGAACCTTCTGACTGCTGTCAATGAACTTCTAATAATTTCATAAATAATTTCATAAATTCACAAAATGATAATATTTAGTAATTAAAATAAATATCAGAATCAGAAACAGACAAAAATAGACAAAAATACAGAAAAATATCTAAATTGCTACTTCATTTTGATATACTCAGGACATACATTAGCATCATATCCATACTGCTTAAGATAAAATAATATCATAAAATAATCCAATCATGCTGATTTTCTAGAAGAATTAAAATTAAAAAAAAAAACAGTTTATCAGTTTTAGGGTAAACAACAGAAGTGTTACAAAGTGCTGACCATGGCAATGACACTGGACAGACACAGTGATCAGAATATAGACAGACTGAGTGTCTGTATATAATAAATAGGTGATAAAAATTACATTTGCAACTTAATGACCTCACAATAACAGAGCTCATTTATAATATCATATCTGACCTGAAATATATATTCACATTTAAACATTTTCACTGAAGTCTTGTTCTCTTCAGTGATGGCTTATTGTCTACCACAATCTCACTGTATATATGCTACCTCTACTAGTACTGTAACAGTTTCCATGCATATGGGGAAAATTATTATAACACATCACAACTGAGCTGAAATATCTATACACTTTTAAACATGTCCATTGTGTCTATTTGTCTTCAGTGACAGAGTATTGTCCAACACAATCTCCTTGATTTATATACCCTGCCTCTATAGTTTCCATGCATATGGGGGAAATTGATTCTTTGTGTTACCTGGAACCCACATTTGTTGTGTAATTGTATTGTTTCATATAACTGGCTCCCCAGGATCTGCTGTGTTTGGAAGTCTTGTTCTGGGTGGTTCTGGCAGCACTTTCTCTCACTCAGTATAAAATTGACCTCTTGGTCTGCCAGCAGCTCTTTACACAAATCCAGAAATGTATTTGCTAAAAACATATATGAAATGAGTATAACTGTTTGCAATGCAATTGAATCATCTCTGTAATATAGTGCAAACTATTATTAGGAACCATCTGATGATACATTATTCATATACAGGATGCTTTTGTAAGATGCACAATTTCATTTTTGTATCACCATGCTTGATATGCAACTGTAAAAATCTGGGATAATTATATCAATTGGCTTTGGCTACTTAAAAGACATTTTCTGAGGAGTAATTTGAGAGGAGTCACAAAGGAAATTACTAATAAAAAATTTAATTCAAGACAGAATTACTTTAACTAAAAAGGAAACAAAAATATCATAATTGGTTTCTTTCTCTACAGTGGAAGATTAGGAGACCAATTACATATTGTTACATGACGTGTAAAACAATATCCACCATTAGTTTAGTGTAGCACCTGCAAGCAGTCCATTTACTGTCATGACAATGGGTCATCCAAGGGAAGAAATGACCACTGCTCCACTTTGGATTCAATGAATTTCGTCCCAAACTGACCACATCAAGCAGGCCACTACAGAGACACTTCACCATGTACAACAACTGTCCAACCATGTGTATGAGCTAAAAAAAAAAGATAAACATTCATTATGCTTATGATAACTCATAATTTTCCAAGTCACATAAGTCATGAAATCCAAAAAACCTGTGATAATTGGTGTCAAAACAAAACCAACCGTTCATTTTGTGTACAACCTGCAAAAAGTCCAGTTCCCTGTTTACCATGGCTGTCCTGTCTCTGGCACTTCACAACCCATTCATCCTGAAACTTGCTGTCTTGCACAGTTGCATGAGATGAAGGAATATTCCTGCAGCTGTTATTTCCTATTTCATATTAATAATACATCCCCCCCATGTCCAGCCAGGTAAAGTCAGTTCACCTAGAAGACACCATGCTCTATGGAGACTGGAGCTGGAAAAAGAGACAAAAGATAATATTAATGAAGTGACATATATTATCTTAATAAAAAGAACATTGACAGTTAAGAGCCAGCAGAATATTAGGGACCATTCCTAGACTAACTCAGGGGCGGATTTAGGCCATCCTCCTGGATCTTCCGGAAGATTTTTAAGTTTACATTGGCGAGAAACTAATCTTTTCTACTGGAAGACGGTCTAACATGGAGGATGGATCAATAAAGATAATTCGGAGGCCTGTCAGAAAATTACCTGTAACTGTTGATCAATGTATTTCTGAGGGGATTCTTGCTAAATTGCAATCAACTTGAGCAGCTTAGATGTCTGTCACACCTACTGAAGCTGCTAAAGGGCAATTAATTATCAGTAGGCACGCCAGACATCTAAGCTGCTAAGCTAAAAGCAATTCAGCAAGAAATCCCTCAGAAATAAATTGATTAACATTTGGTCTGGGAATGGTCCCTTAAATGGTCACATGCCTCGATCCCCACACGACTGTATGGTCGAATTGAGTCGAGATTTGATTAATGTGCCCATGCCTGAACGACACCAGTGGAGGCGTGTGAGAGGTGGAGTGACCATTACAGGATTAAGCACTCTTCTTTTCATGTAGGTCTGCCATATTAAGGCCGTGGACCAGTTAGCACTCGGATCTTCTCATTGCTTTGTAGTGTTTTTGTCACTGCCAAGAGCATCCTGGGATGTCTGCTGCGCATTTGGGGACTGCGCAGGGGCGCTCACATATAAAGTAATACCAGCCCATGTGACGCCCTAGATCCCGGTAGATCTTCACCAGTGAAGAAGTACAAAGCTCCTCCAAGTTGACGTACTCTCACAGCATAGTGCCACACATTAACAGAAGGACCAGGCAATACTCTCAGTAAGTACCAGAAGTGTTTGTTTCTGCTATTGAATTAGAGTAAAACACTTTAGCTTCTTGATTATATATAACTCTGCTAGTACTTTTTTATGTTTTACCTCAGATGTTTCAAGGACCGAACTCGGAGCTACTGAATAACACTTATAACACTGGGATCACCGGATCCCTACGTCTATTCTCTACCTCTTGTATCTGCAGGTCCTTTTCTCTCTCTCTCTCAAAAGCCCCGCCCAACTGTCGCTTTCAATCCCAAGACTTCCGGTACCAGATCACTGCAACAAAGTACTCACCCTTTTGTCATCAAGAATGTCTTTGCATACATTTAAAGGGATGCTGGAATCGTGAAATGTCATACTGCTTTAGATAAAACTTTAATGGTAACTCATAGATATATCTTATCCTTGGAATAACGTTATTTCACTAACGTGCAAAATTTTCCCGCTCCGCCCGACTAAGTAGGTCAAAGAAAACTCGCAGTGAATACTGGGTCACATCTCGGCACATCCGGTCACATGAAGCGCCACAGTTTTACTCTGCGTCCAAGTTATTATATCTTTTGATTTTTCGTTTAGATATGATATTATTGATTATTGATTGAGAATAAATTACTACAAAAAAGGTAATAATAAATTTTTTATTGTTATTATTATATATTTTCTTTTTGCTTCAACTTTTGCTGGATCTCAGCACTGCTAACACAACGCCCAATTTGAGCAAATAGAGCATTTAAGGACCTTCGCATTTAGAGTGATTACCATTAAAAGTAAAATAAACGTAGCCTACTTGAAAATATTCTAAAGTCAATTTTTTCCCCAAATATCCTGCAAATCTACTAGTAGGCCTACTTGTAGGCCTACTTTACTTTTATAGACTGCGCTATCTAGAGACCATGCTTAGGCTATATTAGATGCGCGTTAAATTTTTCTAAAATGTTCCAAATTTTTTTCCCAATTTCAAGTATATTTCCTCAATGCCTGGTAACGAAGGTGTTGCAATTGACTTCCTAACAGAGTGCAGCTTTGTCGTGTTACGTGTAAAATATTTGATTGTGCCCTGTCAACATAGGCCTATCGTCTAGCTAATCATGAGAGCCCGCTGGGAAGGGGGGGGGGGAGTGATCACATTTCACGGCCGCGGAAAATATCATCAAATCACAAATTACAAATTACATAAATTGCATTAGAATTTTATTCATATCTCATTGAAAATGCGAGTCCGACGAGCTGAATATAACTATCATCGAGTATAATGACTTCGTTCCACTATAAGGACGAGGGATAGAAACCCGCAATTCACGATTCACAGGAATGGGGTGCTTCACATCTCGGGGAATGATAAGTGGCTGTTACGGGTAATGAAAATACCCAACGGGGCCTTCAGTCCTTGTCTTAACTAAAATGAGGATTTAATCAATGTCTATAATATTTCAAAACATTATTTAAAGCAACTAAAATTAATGATCTGGAGAAAAAATACGTCACGAAGGATTTTCAGCTTTTAAAAGTAGCTGCAAGTTATTTGTTGCGTTATTTAAGATAAACATTCTAGACATTTTCTGAGACGTTAAATATTAAACTTGCTTCCAAACAAGTAGGCCTACCTTATTTTTCTAATTTATTGAAAATAAACTTATAGGCAAATGTGAGATGGAGTTGCGAGTGACAGTAGAGAAGGTCTAAAAATGAGTCTGCATTTCGTGTTTTGAATATGATTAGCACAGTGCTGAGCTAACTTATGCAACAATTTTCTTGTGCATTTAAAGACTCACTAAAGGAAGAGCGAGAGACAAAATGTAGTTATTATTCATCTACACAACGTACCTCCGACCGTGTTGGGAGTTCAACCCCCCTGAGGACTCAGATGATAGCTGTCGTCAATACTGCTTTTAAATAGCGTAACAAACGCGATCGTTCTTTGTTCTCATATCATAAACAGGAATCTTTCTTTAAAAAATTATTAAAGACATCCTAACATTTTATACATATCTGTGAATATTTAGTGAAAACTCCATCTGTGACTTTCTCTCTCTCTCTCTCTCGTTGTCTCTGGCCGAATTCACAACCAGTTGATCCTCGGACCAGAATTTATGATAATTTACTGTTATGACTGATAAATGAAACTACATATTTTTCATTTGACCGCATCTTCCGTATCTTTAGGGGAAAAATATATTGAAAACGCATCTGTAAAGATTAACTCTGAAGAGATGAAAAAAAATGCCCGAGCTTTTGGCTTGTGAACCTTCTTCAGGTACCAAAACAAGAATAAACAAGCAAACTACTGGTGTAAGTGACGTATGATGCATGGAAAAGGGACGAAGTTAGAAGTGCGTGATAAAGGTTAACGTCTTGAAGATTACGTAATAATAAAACAATACTAATATTCGTTGAGATAGGCCTACTCATTGTCTCTATAAAGTCTTTTTTTGAAGTGTCTAATATTTTTATGAACTTCTCGACAATCCGTCTTTGTCTTGTGTCGCGTATGTGTCCTTTTAAAATGGTGACTGTTTGTACTGTGGTGGTTCTTGATGCGAGTTTTAAGGGCGTAAGACAGCTTTTTTTCTATCGTTTTCACTTTTAATTACTATAAGTTCTATTACTGTACATAGCTACCAATTATCTGCGCTTTAAGCTTGTACTTTTTATTACAGATACAAGCAAGGCAAGCAAAAAGTCTCTGGCAGTGAATTGTGAACTGTTGCTGCTACCACTCCTACATAAAGTAGATATTGCAAACATACATCGGCACATGAATCAATAAGATATCAGACAACTTTCATGGAACATAAACTGAAATTAAAGCTGGATATTCTTTTATCTATTATCATTTCGCATTTACGTTAAATCTCGGCACGTAGGCCTACATCTTCATCACCATCATACTTCCGTCGCAGTCCGAAGCGACGAAGTTCAAACAGTGCACATCAAAACCATAAATCAGGAGTCCTTACGTAGGAAACCACGCGCTAGAGGTTTAATTAAGGCATTCTTGTTGGCGGTATTGTCACTAATTTATAGAATCATGAACAAATCTGGATGACTCTATCTAGAACAAAGTAATTATTGCCTAAAAATAAAAAAATACTTTTCAGAATAATACAAGAAAAATTAATGAAAAGAACAAAGGCAAAATAATTTTAAATTAAAAATGGAACCTGAACAACAAATACAGCTTCAAGCAAATGGAAATGAAAATAGAATATACACACCCTTGACTTACGAGTTAAGCTACAATTCATTTTTAAAAATAATGTCGGTACCTTGTCAATGTATGGCAGGACTATGTGAAAACGACATACACCCTCCCTTACACATACACTAAACACACACGCGCACACACACACACACACACACACACACACACACACACGCACAGGCTCATCGTCGAAGAGGGGGAGAACCAAATCCAATCATCGAAGTTGTACATCGGTTCACTATTTGTCCTAAGTAAATTATCATAAAATAAACGAATCAGATCAAAATTACAATAAAGCGCGGAATGTGCAGACCAGCATAATCAACACCTGTGGGTTTGGATACAAAACTGCTCTTCCCCGTTGCCAACGCTCTCAATTCAGGTCTATCTTTTAAAATAAAATGTTTTATTGTATATTAAAAAAACATGTATAAAACAACATACTTCGGTCGATAATCTAGCAGTGTGTAATACTGTGCATGAACCCAAATATGTTGTAGATGTAGCATTATCAAAATAGAAATACCATATCATGAAAAGTCACATTAGAATTCTCCCCCATCCCCTCCCACCAATACGCCCCTTTTCTATTTTCTAATAATACCATACAAACTCAGCGTGTGTAGGAGTGTGAAAACTAAAGTAGATCAAAAGCCATGTAAGGATTCATAGGGGAGATAGGTAATCTCCTTTTGCTCTTTTTTTAACCTGTCAATTTTGAGAAGAAATACAGTGAATCGGTGTCTCTCATTGCACTTAGTCANTCTGTATAGGTTTGTGTATGCATACTTCTATATCCACAGATGCATTTCGTTAAGAATTTACCTTTTTTACGGTCATCCGTTTACAGAACCAACTTGACATCCTCTGTAATGTCAGGAATATCAGGTTTATCAAAGCGGACATCTGTAATAGATATAAAAAAGTATAGTCCAGACTTTTTATATTAACATTTTTAGATAGTGTGTTCATGTTCTTGTAAATTAAAAAGTGGAGGCACTTTTCTATGTAGGAATAAACAAACTTTCTGCTTTGGCCACTTAAAATGTTATCATGCAACAAAACATTTTCATTTATTTTGAATAAGCTGTCTTTCTATGAATTTGTAATTATATCAGCTAAATTTGATATGTTTATGTTGCATTACATAAATAATATGATAAAAAAATAAAGGTTTACTGTAAAACAAACAGATCATTTTCTGTTGGATTGTTCATGTTTCCCAGATCTTTTAGCAAAGCTTTGGAATACTTTTTCAAGAAACAGTTGTAATCACCAAGTTCCTTACTCTAATGGTCTTTAAGGAGATAACATAAATAACACTTGATAGAAAGGCAGTATGTTTCCTTGACAACGAACTGCTTTTGACCAGTTGAAGCTCCAAAGTTAATGGTTCATTCTAGCTGTCCTACTTTTCTATTTTGGCAGCATTCTGTATTTCTTGTATTTCACTCATACTTGTTCTATTTTATTCACATTATTGACTTCGGAGTACGTATCACTGAAGTCATCCGTGAAGACGGCGCCTACGAATAACGTTGTCAGTGCCGCAAAGGCTGAGAATTGTTTTCGGTAGTGGTAGGGGTGGCAATAGCTGAAGACCCACAATACACGTTATCATGTAATTTGTGAAATATGTGGTTTTCGTCAATATGCTGACAGAAGGACTTTTGATCGCCAGGAAGAAAGGAAAAGGCTGACATTTAGAGAAGTACCCCGAAAAAATCCCCACTCCCCCCAGCATGCGTTGTTGATCAACAATCGCAGTGACAGCATCAGGCTATCAATACAATATATATATATATATATATATATATATATATATATATATATATATATATATATATATATATATATATATATATAATAAAAAAAAAAGAATAACANAATTAAACCTCGGAGCCATGATTTTACCCATTAAATGGCATGTGTGGAGGCAGGGAGGGCATCAGCAGATTAGTCAGCTCTTCTTTCATGTAGGGTCCCCCATATTTGATCTGGATCTTCTATTCTTAATGGGCTCACACACTAAACTAACTACAAGTTAGGCAGTATATATATATATATACATGTATATATATATATATATATATAATAAAAGAAAAAGAAGAACAGCAACTTTCTTGCCCCGACCGGTTTCTTTCTTTCTTCAGGGGGTTTTGTTTATTTGTTACTAGGTGATGTCATAAAGGCTTAAATGTGACGTCTTTAACAATGAGTGTTTAATTGTTACTTTTACCAATGCTTTTATCTATTCAATGTAGGTTTATACTTATTAATGAATATATATATGCCTGACCTCGTCAATAACAACATTTTCATTGCACCCTCATAAATACCAATTACGTCTGATAAATATGAAGCAAGCACCGATTGAAAAAAAGATTAAATGATTGGTCGGGTATATCAGCGTTAAAACAATACATATCATTTATGATGGACTCTCTATCGGCTAATATTTTATGGTGCATATAGACGTCTTTCTGGGTTGAAAATTCGAAGTATTTCATCAATTTGTAAGGCCGCTTGAGTAGTTATCGAATATATCATAAGGAATGTCACGGTACTGTTAGTGTTGTTCTAAATTCAACCCTTGCTTTCCATCAATAATGCCTACATTTCGGATCAATGATTAATATTCATTCAGTGATCATTAAAAGAACATGAGTCACTGCGCCGGCTCTACATATTATTATTTTTATCACATTATCAATATATGTTATATTCTTATCAGTGCTGTTGTATTTATCATTTTTGTCACGAGCATTACTATCAATATACTTTTATTATATTTATTTTTAAACCCGAACCATTGTTTCCAGCTGTGAAATCAATGATTCATCAACAATAGATAGAGTGCTTGTGACAATTATAATTAAACAGATGCTGTCTTGGGCGCTCGCCGCCAATGCTTTCCAGGACCCAGAAGGAGAAATGCCCATTTATATGGAGGACGTCGGAGACTCAGAGTACGTGACGGGTTATTCTTGGTGGTATCCCACAGGAAACGGCTCTCACGCCAACAAGTGCGAAGAAATTCTGTTCAACCAGGCCGTCACGACCGCCAGGCTTCGCATCGACTATCTCCCCAACAACACCTTGGTCGCAGCTGCAGACTATATGCGTCTTATAGGGCGGCCGATAATATACTTTGTGGGTTTGTTCTTCAACGTGCTTTGTGTTTGTGTCTTGCTGAGGCGGGAATTACGTAGAGTGACCACCTGTAATATCATGATAGCTTTAGCTGTCGCTGACTGCTGTATCTTAATCGACGGCTTCTCCTACTGGGTGGAGTACGAGCTCCTTCATCCAGCGATGACAGCCAGTAGAGGGCTCTGTGGGCTGACTGTATTCACGGTGTATTTCGCGCCTGAAATGAGTGCGTGTATGATAATGTTGATGAGCGGGGAGAGACTCCTCAGACATATTAACACGCCAAAACACGAGGCGATTTTTTCAATTAAGAAGACTCGGATTTACATCGCGGTGATCGTGTTTTTCCTCCTCATTTTGAACATTCCTATCCCTTTATTTGATATTTATTTCTATGAGTGTGGGCGGCAGATATGCTGGACTATCTACCACGATTCCCCAGAACTCCTGACAATACACAGTAAGGATGCAGGTAAGCTTGCTACAGTGAAATATTCATGCAGCGTACAACATAAGCCAGTATATCACTAAGATTCGTTGTTGCACTTAAATTGATGCGTTATTATTTAGAGGTCTTCTTAATTTTTTTTAGGATAATGATAGACTTGACAAAATGTGTACAGTGTAATTTCCTTTTCAGGCGATGTAGGGAATTACTATTCTACATACAAATGGGTGGCTCTAGTGATATATTGGATCATCCCTTTTGTCGGCTTGCCAATCATTAACGCCTGGCTGGTTTGTGCCGTCTGGAAAGATAACGAGAGGAATGGATCGCAAGTACCGAAGACCAAAATACCATTCCCAAACTACTGGTTACATGGTAGAGACGGACAAGTCGAAGAACAGAGGAGTGTTACCAGAATGCTCATCTCCGTCACGGTGGCGTATTGGATCATGACAACGGGATTTAACATGATCCAAGCTGATATTATCAAAATATATGGAACTACTACCGATTACGAGAGAGCAAAGTTTTCTATGATTTACTCAGTTTTCATATTATTATTTTACATGAATCATGCCTCGAATTTCTTTCTTTACTGCTTGAGTGCCCGCCCGTACAGGGAAGAATTAAAAGCAATGTGGGTTGAAACCAAAGAATTCATTTGGATAAAGGGAGCTAGAAGGTCCCAAGTGCACAGCCACGTCTGTTAAGATACTTCATGGTATATTACCACTTCATAGGATAAATGCTCTGATTTTACTGTCAAATCGACTTCATAGGATAAATTGCGACTTCATCTCCACATAAGATATTGCCTGCGACTTCATGGGATAATGGTGAAAAAGTACCTGTTGTTGGCCCAACGCTATGAGAGAGAACGTTTTTGAAATATAATGTTTTTGTACTGTAAATATTATCCAAAATAGGTAAACNGAAGTATCTTAACACACGTCTCTTTTTCTTATGGCAGCATAACTCAACCCGCTGGCAATCAGGGAGTGTGACGTATCTGTGATTATGCCTTCATTACTTTCATTTTCATTCCCTTATTATAACATAAACGTCATTCTGTGGAATTAGATTTTTATTAGCTAGTTCGTATTCCTGTTCAAAGACTTGTAAAAACCAGTTGTGTTTGATATACTAATCAGATATGAAATATATCTAACACTGCATGCCTAATGATTAGCATTAATATTTGAATTAAATATTTGTATTCGTTTAGATATTATATCTATTTTTTATCTGTCACCCATTTCTTCCCGTTATAAGGATTTCTTCCATTCTGTCAATATGTCTGCTGCTCTTTCCAGTGTGCTGTCCTCCTTCAAACAGAAATAAAGTTAGTCATAGTTGAATTTCTTGATATCAGTCCAATATCATTTAAGCAAATTAATCAGTTTTAATCAATTAATGATTTGTTTGAAGCACTGTTTCTACTTAGAGAATTCAAAGTACTTTTTAAAGTATTTCCACACTGCTATAAGATTATTCACTTTTAGACGCAATTTTTGTTGTGTGGAAAATGGTTAGACGTTCATTGTAAGATAATTAACAATCAAATATGATAACTTGGAAGGCTGATCCCATATCTGTTAAGCCTTATCCATGGCTATGTGTATATAAACATTATTAATATAATATTTTATCGTCATCTGATGTTATACTTCAGAATAATGTAAGTATTGAAGGCCCAAGAGAGAATATTAGCTAAAAGCAGATGTCATGCAAACACTTTTCAAAAGCGTATATATTGAGTAACAGTTGTTTATTCACATGTAACAAGGACAACTGCGGTAATATTCCATTGATACAGAAGACCAACGGATTGACTGCTAAGACTGTTATATGGAAAAATAACCACAGGTCAATGAAAAAAGGATGGGTTTTCCTAAATATATATATATATTTCTCAATCTTTACTTACCTTGATAAAGCAGAAACGTAGATATTTGGCTCCTAAATGTTTGTGACCTTTGTGGTAGAAAACACTTGGTGGGATAGCAGACAGCTTCTGAAGTGTTCGAATGACAAGTATTTAATCTTAAAAAAAAGTATTTAATCTAGATTGACAATAATTGTTATAATTTCTTCCTGGTATAAAATGCATTGTCGTTATATCGAGGTTTATCTTCACTTTCATAACTGTGACCAAAACATTATCTTATTAACATATGAAAGTAAGAATACTAAATTGATCATATTTTTTTACAGATTGTGATCGCAATTATATCATTATATTATCTTATTTTCATGCACATAGGTGGCAAGTATACACGTCAGTGTATATGTTTATGTATGCATACATGTATATCCACACATGCAGTTTGTTAAGAATTCACCTTATTGACAGTCATCCATTTGCAGAACTTGACATCCTCTGTGGTGTCGGGACTGTTACTGTCATCAAAACTGACATCTATAATATATATAAAAATGTATAATCCAGACTTTGTATATTAACATGTTTTAGATTATATGTCTAGGTTCTTGTAAATTAAAAGATGGAGGCACTTTTCTACGTGGGAGTAAACAAAATTTCTGCTTTGGCCAATTGAAAGTTTTACCATGCAACAAAACATTTTCACTAATTCTGAATAAGCTGTTATTTTATGAATCTGTAATTATACAAACTGAATTTAATATGTTTATGTTGCACTACATAAGTAACATGATCAGAAAATAAAGATTTATTGTAAAACAAAGACAACATTTTCTGTTGGATTGTTCTTGGTTTCAAGACCTTTCAGTAAAGCTTTTGAGATGCTTATCATATAGGGCCTACTTTGGAACAACTTTCAAGAAACTTTGCCTGCTGTATACTTCACAAGAGCATCATCCGTCACAATGACCTCTTGGGATAAAAGCAAAATATAGTATCTTAAAACTTTTGTTCCAAAGTTAGTGATTATCATCTCTGAAACGTTACAGTCCCTCATGATATGAATTATGTGCTATTCCTTGTTTTCCTAATATATACATTTGCCATTTATTGTTCAAAGTTAAATTAATTTAAATTCATGTTTCTAAAAATACCAACTTAAATGCGAAAAGTCGGCCATCATGAAGTACCCTCCTTGGGGAATGACAGGAACGAACCCGACCTCCTGAAGATCTTTGGCAAGAATGTCACGTTTTCTCTCCAGGTCATCACTAAGTTGTTTGAAGTAGCTCTCTGCCTGACCGAGTCTGGTTACTTCTGTTTCCATGCCAACAGCCACTGCTTCCTAATTATGATAAAAATGCAGTTACTGGGTACCTGTACTTTAATAGCCACAGTCAGACTTAGGCTGCCAGGAAACTGTTTTACCATGCCTTTGTTGGCAGGTAACTTTACAATATATACTCATGAAACATTTCATCCTTATTTTAAAACAAACACCTATATATCTGATGTCCCACATACCTGTAGTGGAGTGGGGCAGGTGTAGTTACAGTTCTGGTGAATCCTCTGAGCGCCCTCTATCAGGTGTGAAGGTCCTATACACCAGCCCAGCTTCCAGCCAGTCACACTGAACGTCTTCCCAGCACTGCTGATACTGATGGTACGCTCCCACATGTCTGGTAGGGTGGCTAGAAAAGAGGGGATATTTTTTTACAAGTTGAAATAATTCAATAATAATATTAATAACTAGTACTTAAACATTTAAGTTCTTATTTTAATTACCGGTTGGATGGTAAAATTATAAAGTCACTACATGCAATTCCACAAAGTGGTTTGGAGGAATGGCAAGAACTTAATTCTTTTTTATATGACATGGCATCTGAGAGATTTAAATCATTTTTTATAACAGTAAGATTAATAACATATAATTAAACGAGGCAGAAAAGCTATCAAATGTACAGACAAAAATTATAAACTAAAAATGTCAGTGGACAAAATAGGGTTTTTATTCATTTTGATCCAATATAACATAATGCTTAACATCATTATCACCACCAATTTTATGGATATTCACAAAATGTATATACATGAAGCAGTAGGCTTCAGACCCATGGAAGTTAAAAGTCACCCACCGAAAACGCCAGTGTGAAATTTTTTTTAAAAATTCGTAATTAAATAAATAAATAACTTCAAGACAAAAATGCTAAGCAGGCTTGAACAAGGTGTACCTGTATCACAGGCCTAAGAATTGAGTTCTAGGAATACAAGCCACATGGTTATCCATTCATTGTGTTTACAGTGAAAAGTGAACAGTGACAGAAGGCGACAGTAGACGCTGGTAACAGTTAAATGTAAATTAAGAGAGGCAGTGTTTGTACAAAAAAGTTAATATAGAATGTGTGCACATTATCCTACATATTTCTTAATGTTCAGATCCTTTTCAAATACCTTTTCTGAAAGAAAAAGTGACTAAATATATGTAGTGATTAATCAGCCGTAGGAGGTATTAGAGCACATGCTGGCGTTTTCCTACCTATTCTCACGTGTTCCTCCCCTTGGAAAGTAATCCACTCATACACTTCATCCGATATCACCATCACATCATGCTGTTTACACAGGTCTGCTATCACCTCCAACTCTGCCCTGGAAAAAACCTACACCAAGGATAGATCAGAGCCGTGGATGACATGTGCAGATTTAAATGTGCCCATTGACATCATTCTTACAATAAATAACAAAAGTACCATGTTTACAGCAACCCTCTTACAGTAATAAAATAATACACGTTGTATGAAAAGTTGGTTGTTACACTAGTTTACAGTATAAAAATTGAAAAGGGGTTTAGACAAATATAAAACACATATATATCCTAGCACAGTGTATTCCCTTCAATCGCCCTTTTTCAGTTTCAACAATTAAACAAACCCTGAATTTCAGAGGACATTGGAAAACACCTGTCATTTCCAGTTCCAGCAGAGACAGAAAAATACAAGAGAAATGACCGGGTTTTAATGGTCCATTGAAAATAATAAAAAAATATATATACATATGCACTACATTAAATGTACTATAAAAACCTTTCAACCTACTTTGCCAGTTGGGTTATGTGGAGTATTGATAATTATTGCTTTAGTTTTAGTGTTAAACTTGCTGGCTAGTTCTTCTGGGTCTAGTTTCCAATCTGCACTGGACGACTGGGACTTTGCTTTCTGGAAAATCCACAAACACTTAAATCTCACTTAATTACATTTTTAAAACTAAGTATTTGCTGTAAACTGGCAGAATACTTGAAAGGGGTATTAAATGCCAACATTTATATTATAATGTTGCAAGGTCTTTTTAAAAATTATTTTTGAATTGCCCTGAATAAAGCTCTTGCTTTCTACGCATGTATATTGATGATCATTTCTTAGCAAATACTGTAAATAACTAATTATTTTTGGCAAGTTGTATACTTTTCTTGTTCTGGGAGCATTTCGCTCTAAATCTGACAGGTGAAAGAAAACGCATATCAGCAAACTAAGCACCGACATAAAAAGTGACCTTGTTGTGTTTGCTGTGGAAATAATCACCAGCCATTCTTACCTCTGCCCGAAGTGGTATAAACACTGGTACCCCCTCTGCAAGCCTTACCATAGGCTCATAACATCCAAAAAACGGCTCAATAATGACCACCTGGAAATAAATGAGAAATGTAACGTCTCACCTTTAACCCTTTGACCCTTAATTCACTTACACATATTTGATGGTCTTTTCAAATAATTATATGGGATTATAATAATCATTGATTTTCACCCATACGTGTATACACTGATCATGCTGCATTGTTTTCCCTTTAACTGTTGCCAGAGATAGGGGATTCACATAGAAAAGACACATGGGGCCAAACCCGGTATTACAGAACCTTCGTTACTTATACCCCCAGTGTATAGGTACATGTACCACTATTTTTGCAATGGTACCATAAAATAGCAGTTTCAGTTGCTGATTTGGTAATGACAATCACAAAGCCATGGTCACAAATGGCAATTTTATTAACTAGGCATGTAAATCTCTTTTGATACAATTAACATATAATACCAACTGTCCAATAATCCACAGTATACTGTACTGGTAACTTGTCTTGACTGCATCATTTGACATGAGCAGACGTCAGTGTTTCACAGGGAACCAATCACAGATCAACTCTCTTAACAACCGCATAACGAACCTATCTGCTCATTTTATGGAGCCAAATCAAGCATGTTAGACACTTCGGATCTTGGTTTTAAAAAAGATCCTATCAACAAACAGAACACTTCAGAGAACCTGGTTTTTTCATTGCAAGTGAACCCACCTGGATGTAAGACATACCTCATCCCCAGGGTTGATCAACCCCATGATGGTACAGTACAGAGCCCCATAGGCACCAACTGTGACGATTATCTCATTCATTGGGTCAATGGTCCGACCATGGAGTGGGGAGAACATCTTGGAGATTGCCTGGACAAGTCTAGGGTGACCCTGGAAGAAGAGGAGGTCTTAAAGATTGCCTGAACCAGTCTAGTCTTGCAAAACTCTGAAACATGGTGACACCTAAGGCCTGAAACAAGATTACACCTTATGTATTGTAATCTCAATTTCAGGGTGTTCCTGGAATACTGGAACGTCTTCAAATGTCTGAACCACTCTTGGCTGACCTTGATTTTTAATGTATATTCTATGCATTCAGGCCCAAACCTGAAGCAACAGATAAACATATTGGACAACATTATAATCATGTTTACTTTTAAGAAGGCCAAGTGAGCAGACCTATGACTTCTGAATCAAAATAACCGCAGGTGAAAAAGGGTGTAGGGTTGGGGGAAGATGTGTCCTCTTTCCTAAATAGCTGCCGGTGGAATGGTTTTACGGGTTTTTGTAGAAAGTGTTGCCTCTTTCTTTAAAAATGCACACTAGCGTCCGTAGTGATGTCCAGAGATCCACGAAAGTGCACAGAGAAGTATAAAGATCAACAGTGCAAAATAAATAGATTACACGGAGTAAATGCCAGACAAATATAAAGGAATACTTAACATATTTCTCAAGGAAAATTGGGCAAGGTCCAAAAACCTCGTAAAGTAATCCTTTCATGGGCATACTTTATAGGCATATTGCCACCTTCCTATGGCATAACACAACATACCAGATATACATGTTTATTGGTATATAATTCCATCCAATATAACACTGTAAGTAAAATGCAATAAGACTTACAAAGCTCCTGGTGTACTGGTTCAGCAGAACATTGCTGCTCATGGTGGCATCACAGAGGGCTTGTTTCACATATTCTGGAGGGGAGAAGTCTGGAAATCCCTGGGAGAAAGGACAAGTTTATGTTCAGCGAATAGTAATCATGTATGCCTGGATATATTGAAATAGTAATCATCTTCATAATATGCATAATAACCATCAGCCGCATCACTCATCTCGCATCCGGTGGTGGATATACATGTAATACTGTAATTTACATCATGTACACGCTGTACGATCCCGTCAACGCTTCTGCTTAAATTTATGTCGATGTTACAAATGTTACAGAGTGCATTTATTAGTACCGTAACTAAAGATTTCAGGACATCTATTATCTCAGCGAAGTATAAGACTGATTTTTTTATAAGACATAGTTACCAGACCAAGGTTGATAGCCTCGTGCTCGGCTGCTAGCTTGCCAAATTCAGCCCTGAAAATTATCACAATATAAACATTTCGTAAATCTGAAAGTAAATTGATTTGAAAATGGGACGAAATTTATCTCCTATAAAGATGCAAAACAGTTTCACTGTAAAAACTCATGTGACGTAATTCGCTAAGGTGTATTCAGACAGGACTATTTTGGACCGACAACCAATTCAGCACTCGTTACTTAATGACAAGATAACAGAAATCTCTTCAAGCTTTTCTGATGGTGCAGTTGAGAAAAGTGGCTTTGTATCGTATGCCTGAGAACAACTTTTAATACTGTATGTATTGCCCCAATGATGTGGTCTTACCAAACATTGTTTGCTGAATGTAATTCTGTCCTGTGTGCGCTGACCAATTTACTGGACATCCTAGACTGCAAAGAGAAGAACAAATAATAAAACACAAACTTAACAGAAAAGTCCACAATGTTACATGCAACAAGTGAGTGGCTAGAATGTGTAATATATCTTGAAAATGTGATCTGGAAAAAGAATTATCTAAGAACCATGCTACCTACTAGTATAAACTGTCACGAGATGGACGTGACCTTTTGACATGAGACGGAATAAATACCTAGATGTCAATATGAACCAATTGTAAACATTTCACAAACAATTTACCGGTACTTTGCCAGAAAAAAATAGAAAAAATAGCCAATCAATCTGTTATATTTTGCTTAAGTTATAAAAGACAACATGGCAAATGACTATTATTATTGCTATTGTGCATAATGGGTTACATTACCATAGTTGTTAACATTACCATTAACTTACTACTGCTTTCTTACCGAGTGGTGACGGGGTGTTTATTCTGAGAACAGAAACTTCTAACGACCGAACTCTTCCTTTCAACAATGGGTCTCAGAGTAGTCAACGTGCCCTGTGAATACATATGAATAAAAGGATTAATGGATAAATAGATAAGTCGATAGGTAGATGGACAGACAGACTGTCAATATTACATGTACATAGAGAGATTTCTCATTATTAGATAAATATACCTGACAAACAGATACATTTACTTTAGTCTTGGACCTAAATCTCTATTTAGGTCCAAGCTTTAGTACATACTACACTAAGTGCACGCGTTATATAAAAAATAAATATCTCTCACTTACTTGTAGTAAGAATTTGACTTATACATACCATATAACTTGGTTTTTAATGTTCAATCTTTAGCGACTTCTTTTTTTTCACGAGCAGTTTCACAGAATTTATTTAAAGGCAAATACTACTACATTTTCGTTAATTACTGAACAGTTCTTTAACGAGTCACAAAAGTAAAAAGATTTATAAATATATTATCCTGTTTAACTATAGAAGTATATGTTTGATGAGAGCATGAAGATTTTTAAGAAGGCCCCTCACACATATGGGACTTAATATCCGTATATTGCCCTGAACGGATCACTTAACGTCCCCTCGCTGCTACTACTCCGTATCGGGACGCCCACAGGTAAAAAGACGAAAACATTTTTCTCAGCTTTGAAACCTGTCCCTAAGATTTCTAAAAACCCGACCCGAAAGTAAGTTTGTAAAAATATTCCCTTTTAAACCATTGAGGGGGGGGGGGGGGGGGGGGGG